ATTGTACAGTGTCATTAAGTGCCGTAATGTACACCTCTGCCTACCCCTTCGGGGATAAAAGGCGTGATGTTATGTTATGTTATGTAATAATTTTTCTCCATAAAGTGATACGGAGTCGTTTTTATTGTTATGTAACTTTTAATCAATTGAACGTATGCAAAAACTGAATGATTTTTAAACTGTCAAACACCAAGCGGTCACCGGTGACCGCAACCTATTGTTCTATAATTGTGTCTACAAAACCGGTACTCGACGAGTACCGGTTTAAGATAAGAGAAATACACAAAGTATTGTCTTCATTCGTAAAACAGTACCGTCTTTTGTAAGAATGATCCAGATTTTTTATATTTTAATACCAAAAGTTTATAAATGGCTTTCACGATTTTATAAAACGTATTTTCATCGTCTAAAACAACTCATTACATTTCAACTTATTAAAAAACTATGAGATTTTTTATCAATATAAAAAATATACCTCCTTTTGATTTAATTCTTGTTTAAAAGTGAACCTTCTAAATTCTCCTATTGTACGACAAACAATGGTGATAAATCGCGCAGGACCAACGCAAGGATCTTTGACAAACACATTAATCTGTTCGTTTCCTATCAATAAAATATTTCTCTATAGACCCTTGTTTTGCTTTCAAAGGAAAAATGTACTGATAAGTATAATAAATGGCACTATATAATATACCTCTATATTGCAAGTATGCTCACGGAAATAGCATCGACATAAAGTATGATATAAAAATAGTTCGAGGTTCTTTATTCTTGAAGCGGTTCGTAAATATATTTTTTTGTAATAAACGCGTAAATTTTAGATTTGATAAAGAATGAATATTATACAAACTGTATTATACAAATACAATAAAAAACAATAAAATGTTTTCATCAGTAGACGTCGCGGTTACCGGGGCTCCGGCTCGACGTGCAGGAGAAGGAACGGGGTGGTTTTTGGTCAGTAAGAGTCTGACACTCCCTCCCGCCTCACCCAGGCGGGAGAAGTCATTCGATGATTTTCCCCCCCTTAAAAAACAGGCCCAGAAGGAAACGGCGGGATGATCTGGATGCCTATGAAAAGGATTGGCCACAGAAAGCTATAAGAAGAGATGAGTGGAAGGAAGGTAGGGAGGCCTTTGCCCTGTAATAGAAAGACTCTGGCTAAAAGGAAATAATACAATAATTTATTTTTTTAAATAAAAAACAAAACATTCGTTTTGACGAATCACTCATTCTTACCCTTATTGCAAGTGGCTTAGAAACGATAGTTTTAATTATTTTTAACTCTCTTTTATTTTTCCCTTTAAAACCACTTCTCATTACTATTATTCCTCACACAATGTACATACAATTTAAGCATCTATTATGCTCAACAGAAGAGCTAAAACGGAACGACTATGATAAACATGTATGTCTCAAGGCTTCGCTAAAAATGGAACATGAGTGTCAATGTATAAATTTACTAACCACAATTTTCGACAATTAAGGAACTTTAATTAGATTCTCAATCTCATACACGGATAATTCTGTAACATTATTGCTATAATTTACCTTGTGTAGGAATAAATCTGAATCTAAATCTGTCGACAAATAATATAATTAAGGGTGGGAAATATTCCGTGTAGATTACAACATAACTGTCGTGAGACAATCTAAATTAATCATTATATTTTCAGCATTCGCCGCGTCGTATCGCGGAATGCTACTCATGAATATGACTCTCTAGCATGACTTGCATTTTTTTTAAACCTTGCCCTCACTAGGATTTCCTCCTGTGTCGTGAGAGCGTTTACAAACATACAAGTTCACATACACATCATACTCAGACCCGAAACAACAATTTGTGGGTCACACAAAGAGTGGTTCCGTGTGGGAATTGAACTCGCGACACATTGCGTGGCAACCAATTGCACAGTCACCACAGCAACCGTACAGTGAATTCAATTAGTTGATTTCTGCGTCAAAAAATTACGTCAATAGTCGAAAACATTAATTAATAAGCCGTGTATAAGAACGTAATAGATTTATTACAACTCCTATTCATCCCACATGCATCTTAAGAGTCGATACGCACCTTAGCAATATCATTCACTAAAAGGTCTATAAAGCCTGAAAAGCCAATTGAAATGTCAAAAGTATAGATAATTTATTTCACTTTTGAAAGAAAAACAAATAAAAATGAAGCTATTTGCTCAATTCCTATGGAGAAGAACGAGCAAGAAACTCCATAGATTACTCTTTTTCAATCAGGTTCACAATACAATTCTCTAGTAACAATACTAATATAGTTTTGTTCGTTGTAATCCCGGCTGTCAAGTATACAAATTAAGGCACACCCTTATAAGTAGAGGAGGCTCATAGTTATGTAGTTATGTCTCTTCAAATTTTGATGAATTAAAATAATTCTTTGAGCCGTTAGGGGTTAAGACGCTAGGTCCGTGGGGTCCGAGTGCGCTTAAATTATTCAAAAACATTTCGAAACGGCTTGACGCATCTCGTGACTAGAGAGCTTGACTTTTTTTGGTAAGAGGTTAAGCATTGCCATACAACGTGGCAATGCTGCCAGCCTTCTGGGTACTTTCCCCACTGACGTCGATGCGGACGAATTTTTCGGTGCTTTATGTATAATAATATTTGTTTTTAATTTTCTTTTAATTAATCTTAATCTTAAGTTGTATATATTTAATTTAGTAATAGTTCGTGTAAATTTTATTTTAGCATTAAAATAGAAATAGTATTAACAATTTTCTTGAAAAGCCAGTCTAGAAACCATTAGCTAATCGTCCAGTCAATTAAATAACTCTAAAACCCTTTGAAACCCTACAAGCCAGGTTCTACCCACAGCTAGACCCACGCACTAATTTTAAGACCTTTCAGTTAATGAAAAATTAAAACCACAAGCACTTTATATTTTAGAATTTAATATTTTCATGAAAATTTAATCATAAAATAAAGGATTACAAGAGATAAAGTGGTAAAAGCAAAGTGACAACTTAAGTAATCTCGGTTCGTACTTTCAAAGGATTGAATTGAATACAGTACCTAGATGAGAGAAAATATTATAATACAATTGAGAGCAAAAAAACTGAATCACTAGGTACGATTTGTCTCTTTTATTTAAAAATAAACCCTTATTCAATCATAACATCACGCCTTTTACCCAAGAAGGTATAAGCAGAGATGCACATTACGACCCTTATGCCACTGTACACTGTAACACCCACGTTTCAGTTGTTATGAGTCTCATGTAATAGACGACGAGTCTAGAGCCATTTACCGGGCACAATTCCAGACTCCGTGCTACTACTGAAATATATATTTTTTAAAACCCATTTATTCTTTGCTTGACCCGGTAATCGAACCCGAGACCCCTTGCCCAGCAGTCGCACTTGCGACCACTCCACCAACGAAGCAGTCTGCTCTTAGT